CGATGAACACATGCAACACGCCGCCATCCCGCCACAGTGCAACATCGTCGATCATTCGCGAAGCTGGAGGATCCGGAGAAGCCTCCCATTATCAGGCCGCATTAAGCTTCCTGTCTCATCCCATCTTGCCTACCGTCTTCTCGTTGACTTACGGTAGAGACCCAGCATCTTCATTAATCTCAGTTGATATTCGTCCGGTGGGCGCAGCAAAAGCTCGCACTGACCTCCCCCCTCCCAGCATCATCGTCCCATCTCCTACTGGATCACCACACGGTCAAGACGTCGCCTCCCGGCTCCGCTAATTCCTCTCCACAACTCGCCAAATTTTTTCTTGGACGGGGCTCCAGTCCCTGAAAAGCTCGTCCTGTTCAAACCTCCCCCCTACTTCGTCACCATTCCCGTGCGCAGTGGACGGCACGGCACACAAGCCAAAAGCGAACCATGCGTCCTACTACTGCAGCAGCGCCGGGCGAGGACATGTCTGGCACCGACATGAAGTCCGAGAAGCACGGAGGAGGAGGAGGATCCGGGAACGAGATTGGGCCCGGCGGCGAGGCGGGTGTGGACCCTCCTATTCGCTCTCTTCCGCCCAAGGGCGACGAGACGGGCAAGTCGTCACGCGACAGAGAAGAAGTCGTCGACACGAGCGACTTGGAGGTCGGCACCAACCAGACCGACTCGATGAGAGATGCCAAGGGCAAGGGAGCGAAAGTGGCCCGGTTCTATAGGAAGTTCAAGCTTCCGATCCACGTGTTTGTATGGATGTTGTTCACAGCGTAAGTTGAGAACCTCTCTCATGCTCTCAGATGCCCCCTTCATGGTGGCTAGTCTGGTGGCATCGGTTGACCGAAAAATCCTGGACAGATGGTGGATCGTCGGCCTCGTCTTCCAGCGCGATAAGATGGGCTGGTTGAAGTCTTTCCTGGTCTATCTCGCCATCACCATACGCATCGTCACCTTGTGGCTCCCTGCCGCTGCCGTCATGGTACCGCTGCGCTTCGTCTGGAAGCACACCGTTGGCAGAGCGTACGACATGATCCCCAGCAAGCTGCACCAGCCTCTTGCTGCGCTTCTCACCATTGGCGTCTTCCTTGTCGGTTCCATGGTCCCTGAGGAAGTAGGAGAGAACACTCGTGCCAGTCGCGCCATCAGTCTCTTTGGCCTGCTTCTCATGATCGGTCTTCTCACCCTCACCTCCCGCGACTGGAGGAAGATCCCCTGGCACACTGTCATCGGCGGGATGCTCACGCAGTTCATCATAGCCGTATTCGTGCTCAAAACGGGCGTCGGCTACGACATCTTTGCCTTCATCTCCGAGATGGCCCGGACGCTTCTGGGTTTCGCAAAGCAGGGTCTCGAGTTCTTGACGTCGACTGAAGTATCTGCTCTGACCTGGTTTCTCATTTCTGTGATCCCGGCCATCATTTTCTTCATCTCGCTCGTTCAGCTGCTCTATCACTGCGGGTTCCTGCAATGGTTCATCAAGAAGTTTGCCGTCTTCTTCTTCTGGTCGCTTCGTGTCTCAGGCGCCGAGGCCGTGGTGGCGACGGCAACCCCTTTCGTCGGGCAAGGTGAATCGGCAATGCTCATCAAGCCGTTCGTGCCGTACCTTACGCTGGCCGAGATCCATCAGGTCATGACCTGTGGCTTTGCTACTATCGCGGGATCCGTGCTGGTTGGTTACATTGGCCTCGGCCTCGACGCACAAGTTCTTGTCTCGTCATGCGTCATGTCTATTCCAGCAAGTATTGCGGTGTCAAAGCTTCGCTACCCAGAGACAGAGGAAAGCATCACTCGCGGTAGCATCACAGTTCCGGATGACGAGGAAAAGGCTGCCAACGCCATCCACGCCTTTGCTAACGGAGCTTGGTTCGGTATCAAGGTGGCCGGCATGATCGTCGCCACTCTCCTCTGCATTATCTCCTTCGTCGCCCTCATCAACGGCATCCTCGGCTGGTTTGGCAAGTTCTTGGGCATCGACGATCCCCCATTGACCCTTCAGCTTGTCCTGGGCTACGTCTTTTACCCCGTCGCTTGGTGTCTGGGTGTGCCCAAGAAGGACCTACTCACAGTGGGAGAGCTCATTGGAATCAAGATCATCACCAACGAATACGTTGCTTTCAACTCTCTGTCAAGCAAGGTCGAACCTTACATCTCCATGTCACCTCGATCCAAGCTCATTGCAACCTATGCCTGCTGCGTAAGTTAACTTTTGACAGAGTCGCAACCCTACGTAGAGTAGAAGACTGATCAGAAATCGCAGGGCTTTGGCAACATTGGTTCACTGGGAACTCAGATCGGTGTTCTTTCACAGATTGCTCCCGGACGCGCCGGAGATGTGTCACGAGTCGCCTTGTCTGCCCTATTCGCCGGCGTACTTTCAACCCTCACGTCGGCGAGCGTCGCTGGCATGTTGTACACTGGCTAGCTTCGGGATAGAGGCTAAGGCTTAGGCCACGACAATAGAATCATATTACATTGTATCATATGTAACAATAGCGGTAGGAAGATTATCTGCCGTGACATGATACTCCCTGCCAGATGCGAAGCCATCCGTTCTTTCTTCACGTGCCAGACGAGTGCAGCATGCAAACATGACCGCTCGTACTTCAACAGTCTGCGGATCTAGTCTGGGCACGCTACGCTACTGAGGCTGAGTCGATCGCATCGCAATTGAACTCAGGCCACCCACTTGTCGGGGGTCTGCGGGAGCCGCCGGACCACCTGAATGCTAATCGCAGTGCTCTGAGAGAGCCGACATGTCCCCTTCGGCATGAGCAACTAACTTTCCTCAGCTGACCGGCAACGGAACTGACCGTAAGAGCAATGACGCTCATGAGAGAGCCGTACCCGTCCTGCATGCCGTTAACAAACCTTGTATTTCGCAACGTGTCCCGTTGGGCGTCGCAGTCAAGACATTCATCTAGGCTGACTTCAGCTGGCGTTTTCAGCCTCCCTCCCGATAAGGCGGCGGCGGCCGAGGCTGATCTCTTGACCGCTGTATCTTGTACTCTACTCTAGGGATTAGAGACCATCCGTTTCCCTACGGAAAACAAGAGTTCCCGTGTCTCAATCAGCGAGGACTGTGACACCAGAAGGCTCTGCGCAGTATCTGTCAAAATTGTCTCCTCACTGCTCCGGAATCAAGAGAGAACCATAATAGCCTTGGCCTCCGGTTCATCCATTGAACCCCTCCCTCGCTACCTTACCCCATACCCCAGGTTAATCAAGACAGCCAAGAGACGGATTCACGAATCTCCCCGCCATTTCACGTAATAGAATCTCTCTTTGACAGATGGCACAATAAGTCTGATCGTTGGGCGGCCTGAGTGTTTGCGGGAGAGAAGAATGGCGTCAACAGAGGTTCCGCTAGAATGCCAACCTCTTACGAGAAATTTACTCCATAGTACCAATCCATTACCCCATCGCTTCCTTTTCCCCAACTGTGCGTTCGTCCCAAGCTTTTTCAAGAGCTGCTGAATACCTGGAGAAGGCCTGGAATTACCGAATGCACATGGGAATTTCCATATTGCACTTACTGCCCTAGTTAGTCTCATCTGGGGTCTGGTCAATTTGAAGCATCACTGATTCGTGAGACATCATGTGGAAGAGCTGGGGAAAAGTGACCCACTGCACACACAGAGATTTTGATGGGTTATTGTCCACACTTTGGAAACTTTACGAGGGGCGCCAGGGACGAGCAACTACTCTCTCGGCGATGGCGGCCATGGAAACGCTAGAAAATGCGTAGAAGACGCCAGTGAAGGGGGATACCTAGCACCTTCAGGCACGCACAAAAACTTTGAGGTGTTGGCCGTGAGTAGCCGTCGGTGGGTGAGCAAGGGGAAAGGCAGGGTAGCATCCCGAGACTCGCAATTATTTCAGGCCGCAGAGGCTGCATCGACGATCGATTCAACTGCGATGCAACAGCTACCTCGCGTCTTCGGCTACCTAACTTATGCCAGCATTGTCTATCGCGGTTATTTGAAAGCGAAAAAAACTGACCACAAAAGTTACGTCGTTCGATAAAGGAGTTGTGAGGTCTCAACAACTCCACGGTCTTCTCGCCGTTGCGAATTCTCAGTCGGTCTCTTAGTGCAGCCTCAAGCGTGTGTTTTGCAGATTTCGGCACACAAAGCACTAGAGCAAGCCACCGGCAGACTGGTTTGCCTAGCAGGCCTAGGAGACTGTCCGAGGCGCCTAGCCGGGCCAAGGCCGAGAAGATATCAAATCCAGGCGCGCATGCGAGTCGCCGGAGCAGTGATGGGTAAAATACCGCATCTAGGGCCTCTTGGCAAAGCTGATCCGGCACAATATTCGGGTTAGGGGCGCGTTGGGAATGGCGCGATTTTGATTACTTTTCGTACTTCTGAGAACAGTGGGAAGCGCCGGAGCGGAGGCCGTTTCGATTTTCTCGGGAATGGGAGGGGGAAGAAGAAGAGAAACCAATATCAGACGCCCGCACATCGTTCCGGGGGACCATAGTACCGACTCGCACAGTCTGTTTGGACGGTAGATGGAAGACCCGTTTCGCGGTGACGGAAGGGAATTCGTCACAAGTTGCTCCGTGGAGAGGAGACATCTTTGGACTTCAGCCTTTCAATAGCCGTTCAACTTGCTCACCGACGGTACCAAAGTCAGTATCCCTGCTCTGTCCCGCCCGCTATCCCAGATCTTGCAGCGCCAGGACAGACGTCGGGAATTAAGAGCTGGGTCCTTTTAGATGACGACGAGCCGGCCTCGAGTCGGCTGCTTGCATCTTCGACCAACGCGTGGGACCGGGACCGGGACTTGGGGACTCATGTACGGTATTCCTGCACTGCGGAGGATTGGGGACCTTGGGGGACAACGGGATGGATCACGTCTGACAGTCTGATGTCTGGCTGTGTGACTGTCTATTGACTGTCTCTTGACTGGCAAGCTGGGAATACCTACCCCAAACTTGTCAAAGACGACGCGCTGATCGCCAAGCACCACAGGCTAAAGGGTCTTCCCCCAGGGTGGCTGTGCACTTTGCGAGTGGGTGTCTGAGTTCAACGGCGCATCTGGCGCTGTTGGGCTTGTTTTCGTCAATCAGAGGGAAGCAGCACGATGATCCCCTTCGGTATGCGATCCGGCCGAGTGTCCCACGTTTGCGTGACGACAATCAGACATCAAATCTGCCCTGGCGCCGCCATTCCAGCGCATCGTCAGTTCACGTTGAGGTGAAGAGCGGACTGGAGTCTCATTTTCGCATCACGCATGCAGCTGAGAAGTGCTGACCTTTCCCAGTCAGCCCAGACGCCCCAGCTAGCATGTAATTACTGCGCAGAGAGTCCCGAGAAATGCAGAATGGACCTTTGGGCTGGGATGTGGGAGAGACGCTGCCGACTCTTTGGGAATAGTTCCCACAGGACAGGACGCTCTGCCATTCGTACGACGCACTCAATGGGTGGGCAGGGGACTTGCATCCGGCCAGGTGCCCGAGCAAAAGCGACGGGGTCTCGCGGGGCTAATGCGGCCGTGGTCATTCAGTCCCGGCTCCCAAGAAACAAAACATGCTAGCAAGACTTTTCTGTCTAGGTATGCCTCTATGGCAGAGTGGCAGTACGGATAGGTAATGCTGACTGCCAGACGGGAACGTGAGCCAACTTTACGACTTGTCCAGGACAAGACATTTCCAGCCATTGACTTTGGCAGGCTTTGACAAGACGAGGCAAAGTGGCCGAACCGTCCCAAGCCATCCGAGGTCGCCCATCGGTAGTCTAAGCCAAAGTCAGCCAAGGGCGAGGATAAGCTCGGGCAAACCCATGCTCAACTTTCCCACTCCGAGGCAGGGAAGAGGAGTACAGGGGCCATGTGGAGGAGATAAGGACCTGCTTATTTGGGCCAGAGATAAACGTCTTGGCGGGGAGATTGATCCAGGCTCTGAGTGGACGAGGCAGCAGCTGGAGAAGCGATGGAGGGGGAGAGTGGCAGGGAAGATGGTGGTTGGGGCCCTTGGTGAGAGGGGATGGGTGGGAAGATGCAGCGCGTTTCTAGAACGTAAGATGGAATGCCCACGCGGACGATATGAACAATAAGCGTTATTGTCAGCGTCGCGATTAGACTTATTTGGCGACCCGCTGGTGAAGCTGAACACCTAAAAGGTTCACATAACATGTACGTATTCGTTTACTCTGTTCTGGCCTGGGCATTTGTTCCTGTGGACTCGTGGAGGGGCACATGGTGAAGGGTAGAGAATAGGAATCATGGGGCAGACTTCCTTCAACGGCGGCTCTATCCACATCCCCTCTGCCGAGCAACGGGTCGTCTGCGGGAGGTTGAGACTCCAAGAAGCAACAAGAGATTCAAGAGATGGACAAGCCGCTGGCGGTTCTTGGACACGGGCACGATGGCGCAGATGGCGCAGTGGCGCGCTTTCTAAGCTTTTGGCAGACGCAGCCACCACTTGGTGTTGAGCTGTCAGAGAGCCAGTCAGTGAACAGACGTGATGCGAAGAACGGTCTATTCTTCCATGCAGTTGCAGTACGGAGTACCTAGGTTAACATCACCGAGACTGGGTAGAGACGGCCACGCCGATATCTCTATCAGTGCCTCGTGAAGACTAGCTGTTCCCTTGCAGGGTCGACAACTCGAGGGATCCCGCTAGGCTCTCCCAGTAATACTGCCAGCCTGCTAGTACCTTAGTAAAGGTAAAATCACGCTGCCCATCAGCAGCAACAAATGGAGTACGGATACTTGGAATCGATTCAGCGAGCGAACAGCCTATCTGGGCACGAGCCATTGGCGGTGATTGGCGCGAGGGTATGAATCGTGGCTTGAGGGTGTCCCCGCAGATTGCCCGAGTAGATGGCCATCGCGTGAGCCGTCTATCTCTTGGCTCTCTGTGACTTGACGAGAGCTGGTGGAGGTGGTGGTGGTGTTGGTCGTGGTGGTTCCTGTTCTGGCGTCCTGGTCGCCGTACTCCAACTCCGTACGCCTTATCCGTGTCCGGGACACCCACGCTGTGGGACGGAAACAGCTGAAGCCTGCATATTCGCACGCCGTCCGTGTCTCTCCCTCGCACTCTGCCTTGCGCAGTGCTAAGTTCTAAGGTAGAAAGAGAGAGAGAGAGGCGTACCGGGTGGCTGGGCGGACTAAGTAAGGCTATTCCGCACCCACGCAAAAGCTATCCCGCACCCATACTAGGCCACATTTAGTAAAAACTAGGGTAGCACAGCCTCAATATAAATTTTAATAGTAATACTACTACAGAAATTACTACGTTAATAATTATAAATTTATAACTACTTAATATATAATTATCTACCGAATTAACTATTATAATATTAGAATTACTACTATTACCTACCTAGGCTCGGGCTAGGCTAATTCTATTAGCTACCCCCCTATTACTTATTATACCGTTAGCCTAATTACCCTAATTATAGCTATAGTAAAGGTATTAACGAGGCTATAAAGTAGTAATATTATTACTAATTTAATAAAAAGGGTACGTTATAAAGGTAATAAAACTATTAAAAAGAGTACTATAGTAATAGTTAAGGCTATTAAAGCCTTACTATTTTAGTAGTTAACTTACTAAGCTATAAGTTAAATTAGGTATTAATAATAAAAGTAATAATATCTCGTAATATACTAACTAACTACTTATTAATAACCTTAGTAATAATCTTCTACTTTTTTTATAGCTACGTAGGGGCTAGTATAAGGATAAGAGTAGTATTTTAATATAATAATAAGTCGTACTTAAAAATAGAGGGCTTTTTTAAAATAGAATTATTATATAAACTAAGGGTAATATTCTAACCCTAAAAGGGTATAATAGGCCTACTATAAAAAGTATTATTGTTAGTAATAATCGGGGTAGATTATTAATAGTTAATATATAACTTAATTATTTTTAAATTAGCTTTACGGATAGCTTTATAAAGAGTAATAATCGTAAGCTAAAATAGGGTAAAAAAAGTTAGTTAACGTTTTTTTAATAAAAAGATTAATACTAATATACTAGATCCTAATCTAATTACTAATAGTAATTAATATTATTTTTTATAAATAACCGAGCTAAGTTACCTAACTCTAAATAATTAAAGAGGTCGTAGTAATATAATAAGCCCTATTAGCTTAAAAAAGTATTAGTATAGGGAAATAAGCGCTTTATATAAAACTAATTATAAAAGACTTTATTAATAATACGTAATTAATACTAAATTTAATTAAGTATTTAAAAAGAGATTATTAATAAAAGATTCCTTATTATTAATATATTACTATAGCCTACTTTAATATAATATTTTTATTTACTTACTTCTTTTTTAAATTATAATTCTTTTACGTAAACTATTTTAATAATAATAAGTTAAAAACCATAGAGGTTAAAAAGCTAATTACGTAAGTACGACTTTAATTTATAATAAATAAACTCTATATATAACGTAATTTTAAAACCGTAATTTTATAAGTAACTAATATAATAAGTATAAAATTACTTATAAAAAAGTAAGTAAATAGCCTCGAGGTATAAGACTATTTATAACTACGTAAAATTGAAGATTTTATAAAATATAGCTTAGTAGTAATTAAAATCCTCTTTAGTCTTAGTATAGATATACGTATACTAAGCCTCGAGAATTTTATTAAGCGTTTACTTATATAAATTTAATTATAAATTTAATATAATTAAGGGCCGCGGAAGTAGTAAAATTAGTAAATTAATTAAGGGTAAATAATTATTATTAACGGGCTATATTAATTAAAATAATTCGTAAATTAAAAATTAACCTAGCGAGCTAGTTATAAAATCCTTACTATTTATAATCTCTACTTAGTTAATTACTTTTTAAAAATTTACTAATTCTATACTAATAAAATTAAACTAACTAGAGCTCTCTAATTACTCTAGTACCCTATAAAAAATTATTTTTAATACTAAGTAGTAGATTTTCTAGTACTAATATATAAGGCTAAAAAGTAACTTCGTAAGAATTCTAAGTAGTTATAGATTCCTCCTTATATATACTATCCTACTTTTACTTAATATTTAATACTATATTTTTAAAAATATACTAGAGGTAGATTTATTATAGTATATTTAAAAATACTACCCTTATTACCTTTTTTAGCGCATTATTAAAGTCTATAATAATTATTTTTAGTTACGGAATTTCTCTTTTTTTATATACTAATTTTAACTAGCTTAATACCTATTTAAAAGTTTTCGCGTCTTTACTTAATATAAAGTAAAAGGCCGCGTTAAATATAATATAAATAAAAGTCGTATTATTAACTTAAAAAAGTAATATATTAAAATAGTTAACCTATTCTCTTAATAAATTTTAATAACTTCTAACTATATAATTACTTACTTTATAAATATTATTTATTATAAATAATTTAGGGTTCCTTTTTTATATTTTAAAGTACTATATATATATTTAAAACATATTATTAATCTTACCCGTTATAGGGCTATAGTAAATTATTAAAAATATTATATTATTATTTTTATTAAGTACTTATAAAAAAATTTATATTAAAAAGAGCGGGCTATACTTCTTTTACTATAACTTTTACTAAGTATTTTTAATATTACGCTATTTAATAAGTATATTTATAAAATTGCGGATTTTAATAATAATATAAGTAAAAATAAGTTTTTTAATTATTAATAATAACTCTACTTTTATACTAACCGTTTTCTTATTAAGCTCTTACTAACTTAGCTTATAAAAAACCCGGCTTAATAAATACGATTCTATTATTAATAATTCGTAGTTATACTTACTATATATTATACTTACCCTATACTTATTTTATAAGTTAGGGTATTAGTATATACGAGCCCTCTATAAATAGCCCGTTTTTAATGTCGTTATTTATTATTATTTAGTTACTAATAGCCGCGGTTAATTATTATATTTATATATAAAATCTAAATAAAATAAGGAGCTATTTTACTACTTCTTTAATTTTAGCTTATTTACCCTATAGCTAAGGTCTCGTTAATATAGTTAAACCCTTATAAAAAGGTCGTCGATCGAATTATTTATTAAATTTATTAAAAAAAGCTTAAGGGAAATATAAAAAAATAAAAATTAAGTAGTTAAATCTATATAAAAATATCTAAATATAGTTAATAAAAAAGCACTATAATAATTATATAATTGCGTTACTTAGGCTAATATATAAGTAACCTAGCTACTAGAATCAGCTAGAGCTACTTAGTATAGTGGCTACTTAATTCTACCTACTATTTCCCTAAGCGGGCCTAGTATAG